ATCCTTCCCTCCAGCTGCCATCACATGTCAAATGTCTGCCGCACTAACACAGCAACTGCCATCCTTCCCTGAATACATGAAATGCTTCTCTAGTTCTTTATCTCTGCCTTTTCTTAGCATTTTGGCCACTGTCATCACTCAGGAAAGTCAAATGTCACTATTCCCACCATCAATCATGTCATGTGACTATGGCTGCAGGTCTCTTTCCAAGGGCCCCATACTGTTGCTGTTGTTGTGGTTCACCACTGCTCACAAATAGTGATAAAGGCATCCTTAGTTCTACAACCTGTGCTTCAATCGCCCAAAGCCATGATGCTGAAACTTTCTGAGATATGGCTACAACTACTCAGCCTGATCATTCTATTTACTCAACTTCTTTTTTTTTTCTATTTACTCTACTTCTATAGTGACTTAAATTTTGTTCTTGTCTTGTCTCTAATTTACTTACAAGGGTTTTAACATCACTATTTGGATCTCAAGGCCATAATACTGCTTTCATCAATTAGAAAAATGTCCTTGATTAATCTGGTTCTTTAAAAAAAAAAATTTGCTAGCCAGACATGGCAGCCCATTACTATGATCTTAGGAGGTTGAGGCAGGAAGACTCTCATGAGTTCTAGGCCAGCCTGGGTTACACAGCAACTACCAGACAGGTGGGGCTAAACACACAGACCCTGTCTCAACACACAACACAAAACACACAGTAGCTGAGACACAGTGATAAGATGGAAGCTGTGGGTACATTAAGTATTTTCAATTGAGTAAATCTGTTCTCTAAGTCCTCCTTCTCCAGCTACTTTTAAGGCTTTCTGTGTAGAGGTTAGAGAATATGAGAGGCCGGGCGTTGGTGGCAGCCTGGTTTCCACAGCGAGTGCCAGGATAGGCTCCAAAGCTACACAGAGAAACCCTGCCTGGACAAAACCAAAAACAAACAAAAAGAAAAAAAAAAGAGAGAGACTGAGAGAGAAGAGTGCTGTTTTTTCTTCAGAACTGGCAGACTAAAGATACCTTCTTCAATTTACTATTAAACAGCCCCAAACTTTAGATCACCAACTGTTTAGTAAGATAGGAAGAATGAGTATAAAACCAAATAGTCAATGCATTATGAGTTCAGCACACTGCAAGATTTAAACAGAGATTTTTACAGGTAGCTGGTTAAACATGACCCAAATTATAACATAATACAAACCAATATTTATACACAGAATGTACATCTAGAAAAAAATCCTAAAAATGCCATCTTTGTGTCACCAGACAAACAAATGTCCAACATCACAGTAAGAGCAGGGTTATCACATATCTACAAAGGAGAAACAGCCAGAGTTAAGGAAGAACTAATATCCACTCTGCACTCAGCACAGGTACACCAATCTGGCACTGGGGCATATGGAAAGAAAAAGAAAAAAGAAAAAAAAGGAAGAAATATTACTAAAGTCATTCAACCAGCAAACAGATGGATCCAAAAGAAAAGAAAACAGTCCAGTCTCCTCAATACACGGACACAAAATTGTCAATAAAATTCTTGCAAACCAAACTAAAAGAACACATTAAACAGATCATACGGCAAGTTGGTCTCAATCATTCAAAGATGGAAGATTGTTGAAACAAACATAAAAACTAACTGCAGACTACTCAGACTTGATAATCCCTTTCAGCAAGTGGCAGAAAACAAAAATCAACATCAAACAATCAGAAGCTTTTTTTACATAATGATGCACACAAAAAAAAAACAGGGGGTTAAAAATCCCATTCATAGTAGCTTTTAAAAAACTAAAACTGGGGTTGGACATGGCTCAGTGGTTAAATGCATTGGCTGCTCTTCCAAAAGGACCAGGGTTCAATTCCCAGCACCCTCATGGTATCTCAGCAATGTCTGTAACTCCAGCTCCAGGAATTCTGACAGATACACATGTAGGAAAAAATGCCTATGCACATAAAATAAAAACATAAATAATTAATGAAAAATAAAACCTAGAAATAACTTTAACCAAGGATGGCTAACACCTTTACAATAAATACTTTAAAACACTGAAGGAATGAAAAAACCCAAAATGAAAAAAAACTATTTTGGACCAGAGAATTGTGGTGCAAGCCTTTAATCCCAACACTCAGGAGGCAGAGGCAGGTGGAATTCAAGTCCAGCCTGGTCTACAGAGTAAGTTCCAGGACAGCCAGAGCTACACAGAGAACCTCTGTCTCTAATGCCCCCCCCAAAGAAAGGGAGGAAGGGAGGGAGGGAGAAGAAAAGGGAAGGGAAAAGGGAAGGGAAGAAACGGGAAGAGGGAAGGGAACAGTGAAGGGGAGAGGGAAGAGGGGAGAGGGGAGAGGTAAGGGGAGAGGGGAGGAGAGGAGGGGAGAGGGGAAGGGAGGGGAGGGCAGGGGAGGGGAGTGGAGGAAAAAAGGAAACAAGGAAATCAGGTCCATGTATCTCACTGTGTACAAAATTTACCTCAGAATGGATCAAATAACTTTTTGTGATACTTGAAACTCTGAAACTGCTAGAGGAAAACATATGAAAAGGATTCAAGATATAGATATAAGCAAAAACTTTCGGAAAAGGATTCCAATAGCACAAGAACTAATCTTAAACATCTCTAAGACTACATAAAATTAAAAGGGTTCCTCAGTGGGACAGAAATAGTCAGTGGAGTGAGGGAAAGTCTACAATACTGGGAAATATTTGAAAGCTACACAGTGGACAAAGGAGTAATTTCTAGAATACAGAAAAGAGCCTCAAAAACTAAAAACTAAAAAATATCATTCTGTCAATACATGGGCAGATGAACTGACATACCGCTGTCAGAAGGAAAAACATAATCGCCAATAGACACATGAGAAAGTGTTCAGCATCCTTGCAGTCAGGAAAACGAAAAATTACTCTGAGAAATCATTCACCACTTTAAGAATGACAAGCATGGAGAAAACGAATGACAACATGAATGGGGAAAGAGGAACATATTTTTGCTGCTGTTGGGGATAAAAACTTGTGCAACCAATATGGAAATAAGTACAGTTACTTTTAAAAAGTAAAAACAGAACTCCACATGGCCCAGATATATATTACTGAAGGGTCACAGAGGTACTCGTTCTTCCACACTTAGTGCTGTGCTATTTGCCAGGGCTATGAAATGAGACCAGACTAGATGTCCTTCAACAAACGAACAGATAAAGAAAACATGGTACAAGATCAGACTAGATGTCCTTCAACAAACAAATAGATAAAGAAAACATGGTACAAAAGAAAGAAAGAAAACATGGTATATATACACAATGGCATTTTATCTAGCCATGAAAAACGTGACATCATGACATATGATGGAAATGGATGGAACTAGAAATCATTATTTTAAGAGACTCTAAAAAACAAATATTGCTTATTTTGTCCCATACAGAGACTCTAGATTTAAATTTATATGTATAACATATGAGTACAGAATAAAAGGTATGTTTGTAACTGCATGTGCATATGTCATGAAAGTAGACATGGGGTCATAAAGGGGAAGGAAGGGGAAGGGAGGTAATGGAATGTGTAAGACACAGAAACAGGAGTGACTCTCTTGAGGAAGGAAGGGAGCAGAGACAGCTATCGAGGAGCAGAGGGTGCATGGGGGAAGATGGAAAAGAGAATGAATAAGAAGGAAGTCTAAGAACACAAACATGAGGCTATGCCAGTGAAACTCATTATTTTGTATACTAACCTAACAAAACAACAGAAGTTATGAATTCTTTCATCCTTATATTGCATTTTAAAATTTGAAAAATACTTTATTCCCTGAAATACCTGAAAGTATATAATGGGATATAATGAAATAAGCACACACTCCTTCAGCAAGGTTAAAGACAAAATAATAAGGAAAATCAGAAATACAAAATAAAAAGCCAGAGGCTGGGTGTTGGTAGCACATGCTTTTAATCCCAGCATTCCAGAGACAGGTAGGCGGATCTCTATGAGTTTGAGGCCAGCCTGGTCTACAGAGTGAGTGCCAGGATAGGCTCCAAAGCTACACTGAGAAACCCTGTCTCAAAAAACTAGATAGATAAATAGATAGATAGATAGATAGATAGATAGATAGATAGATAGACAGACAGACAGACAGATAAGCAAGGTGAGGACTGATACACAAATAAAAGTAGAACCTGATGAGATCTCTTTGTCCGAGTTTCCAATCTACCATAGAAAAGAAGGACACAGACTAATAAAGACAATGACATCATACTGTCTGCTTGAGGATCATTAGTAGCAGCTGTTCCAGAGAGTCCATGTTGACAAGTTACCAAAATATACAACAGCTTAATAAGATCAGTGGTTTACTCAGGACATCGGAGAAACTTATAGAATTAGTTTATAGCAGGACAGACTGGCTTCAAACTCAGATCTACCTCCCTAACCTAGTGCTGGTATTAAAGGCGTGTGCCACCACACCAGGCTCACAGCAGGAATCTGACAATGACTGAAGGCTCTACTCACTATGGCATACTGCTTACAACTGTGTGACACAGACTGACCTTCTTGAATTGCCACATCAACAGGTAGTGCAGAAGCTGAATGCAGGAGCTTTTGATAATTCTGTGCGTTCTGGTCAAATAACTGTACAAGAAGAGTACATGTCTTTTCATATTCACATCTGCTGACTGTACACAGCTGCTCCAGCTGCTGGAACACGGTAGCAGTATCATCCAGGGGGTCATCTAAATTATCTCTGAAACACGGAAGACATTCCTTTATAATGTGGTACATCTTAATCACAGCACTGGATCTTTAGAATGTAATAATGCTACAGTGAATCGAAAAATAAAAGACAAATGGATTGGAAGGTAAAAAATAAAACCCCATATATGAAGTTGACATGATTATGCACACAGATATTATCAAAAGACCGCCCCCCCCACACACAAAAGAAACTACTAGAACTAAGAAGTGAGTTTACCAAGATCATAACAAACGAACCCAAAATATAAAACCTGTTGTCCTGCTCTACCATGGCACAGAAGAAATGAAATGGAATACTAAACGACAGTGTCACACAATTTAAAAAACATGGTAAACTGGGGGTAGGGGGCACGTGTCTGTAACTTGAGCACTTAGGAATGAGGTCAGAAGGATCAGGAGTTTAAGGCTAGCCTCAGTTAGATGTAAATTTAAGCCTAGCTTCTAAGTCTGAGGCACTGTTCTCAAAATAATAAATAAAGCTAAATAAGAGTATAATACAAAGATACTAACTAAATCTAATGGACTATGCTCAAAATCTAAAAGCTGAAATTACAAAGCTCTGATAGAAGAAACAAGGAACAGCAGATGCTCCATGTCTGCTGACTAAAAGACTTGACACTGCTGCAGTCTCAGCAATCTCCCAAATTAACATATGGTCTCAATAACCTTTCATCAAAATGGGAATTTCCTTGTAGAAATCACAGACTGAGCCAGAAAGAGAGCTCAGCCAACACAGTGCTTACTGCAAAGCCTGCAGACCTGACCTTAATACCTGGAACCATGTTATAAAGATGGAAGGGCAGAGACAACTCCATGAAGTTGTCCTTTGACCTGCACACAGGTACTAGGCATATAGTCTCCCACACTTAATAATAATAATTTTAAATGAAATAAAGAGACTGGAAAGCTGATGCAAAATTTAAATGAAGAAAAAAATGAAGTACAATAGCCAAAACACACTCACACTGTCTGGTTTCAAAGTTTATTATATCTATAGTACCTAAAACAGGGCAGTAGTGAAAAGATACATGGATTAGTAAGAATAGAGTCTCAAAATGGAACCATATACATGTGGTGGGTTAATTTTTAAGAACAATGTGATTGAAGTTCATTTAGAAAGTATATTTGTATCCACAAATAACACTGGGTAACCAACTGATCCTCCAAAGCAAACATGAGTACAAGAAGAACCTGAATTTCATGTAATATCAACAAATATACATACATACAGATAATATACATACAATATACAAAACCTGGCATTTTTGTTGTTCATTTTTTTGTTTCTGACACAGTCTTTCTTTGTAACCCAGACTGGTTGTCCATGCATTACACAGAGCTTGTGATGCTCCTGCCTCAGCATCCCAAGTGCTGGGAGTACAGGACATGTTTCCACACTCAAAACAAAAATTAACTTCAAATGGATCACACACACATTAAGTGTAAATCTTTTTGTTTTGTTTTGTTCAGTATTTTTTGTGGTTTCTTTGTGTATCCCTGGCTATCCTGGAACTCACTCTGTACACCAGGCTGGCCTCAAATTCAGAGATCTACCTGCCTTTGCCTCCTAAATACTGGGATTAAAGGTGTGCGAAAATCTTAAAACTATAAAAAAAACTATTAAAGCGTAAAGAAAAAATCTGACTTGGAATAAGGTAAAAATCCTTTAGACAGGGCATCAAATATGATACACAAAACAAAAATAATAAGCAGGAGCTCAGCAACTGTAAAACATACAATCTGCTAGACTTAGAAGAGAATATACAAACTTCTAAAATCTCAATCTAATGAAATAACCCAGTTTTTAAAAAGGGGTTGCTAACAGATTATTTTAAGTCATTTTCATTTTATTTTATGTGTATGGGTGCTTTGCCTGTGTGTATGTCTGTGCACCACATGTGTGCTTGGTGCCCATGGAAGCCAAAAGAGAGCTTCAGATTCCCCAGGGCTAGAGTTAGACAGATGGTCGTGAGCCGCCATGTGGGTTCTAGGAATTGAAGCAGAGTCCACTAAGCTATTTCTCTAGCCTCATGGCAACAGATTTGACAGGCACTTTGCCAAAGAATAAATACAAAATACAATGAGGTACCACTACACACCTACTAGACTCTCTATAAAACTAAAAAGATCATCAACGGCCAGCAATCAAGTGCAGAGCAATTCAAATTTTCATAAAATGTAGGTGTAAGTACAGATGTTAAGCCACTTTTGAAAATGGTTTGGCAGCTTTTTACAAAGGAAATATACACTTATCGTGCCACCAGGAAACCCTCTTGTGTAGGTAATTTACACAAGAAAAATGGAAACATGTTTATATAAAACTGTACACATGAATGATGTCAGCAGTTTATTTCCATTACTAAAATGTGAACAACCCAAATATCCATGAAGAGTCAATGGGTGCACTGACACATTCACAGATGGGATTCTACTCTGGAATAAAAAGGAAGGAACCCCTGATACAACATAGAGGGATTCCAAATGCATATGCCAAATCAAAGACATTAGACTTCAAAAGCTAATACTGATGGTTCCATCTTCACAATATTCTAGAAGTAGCAAAAATAATAGGAAAACAGATTAATTAATGCCAGAGCTGTGTGCTAACTAAAAAGGGAGCAAAAGTATCTCCAGGGTGATGTTACCATATTTACTATCATGAGTATGCTGGTGGTTACACAACTGTACATATTTGTCAGAATTCATGAACCTTAACATCTTACTTCAATCTTTTAAAATTCCAAGATGAGATAGATAAAAATAAAACATTGAATATTTTAGTACCTCACTACAATGGCAACAGATTCCAATCGGGAAGTGATAAAGGCCTTGGTGATTTCAGGTGCATAAGTGTCTAACAAGTGGGGTTCAGCTGATTTCACAAAAGGAACGGATGCTACCATCCTCTGCCACAGAGTTAGTAAGTAATGAACACTGTTGGGGGCAAACTCCCAATGCTACAAAGAAACACAGAAAATGTTATTTAAAATGACATTATAGCTTTCTAGACTAAAAATCATAGAGCAAAATTACTACAGATAAAATTAATTGGGTTTTTGTTGTTCTTGTTCTAGTTTGTGTTTTATTGTTTTGAACAAGGAGCTCGTGTAGCTTAGGCTAGCCTTAAATTCATTATGTACCTGAGAGGACCTTTAACTTCTGATTCACCTATCTCCACATCCTGAGTGCTGCTATCATAGATATGCATACCCAGTTTACATGGTGGTAGGGCTAGAACCTGGGGCTTTGTAGATGTTAGGCAAGCATTCTATCAGCCCTGAGAAAATCAACTTTTATTCTGATTATATGACTAAGGACCACACAAATTTTATGAATCAAGAAGTACTCAACAACCAACATCTCTTACTTACAATAATAACTACTAAAATGTTAACGTATTTCCTTAAGATCTATTCAACAGATATTTTGCAAGAGCTGAAATCAAATGGAAACAGAGCTTGAACTCACAGAGATCCACATGCCTCTGTCTCTGCCTCCTGAGTGCTGGGATTAAAGACGTGCGCCACCAACGCCCGGCCAGAATACCCATTTTTATTATTCTATGTGTTGTAATTGCTATTTTATCTTTAAAAAATTGCAAAGAGTAAGTCTAAGGTACTCAACTAAGTATTTAAAAAGGAAACCATCTCCACCAAATCTTTACCAAGGAATTATTTTTAAATAGGTTAACCTCAATTATATATTTGTACTTACCTGTAGGCTAGTAATAGTAAAATTAGCAATCAATCCGATAACCTCAGCATACTCCTTCACCAAAACTAATTCTCCCAGCTGATAGTTGGTCTTTAAACGAGCCAAAAATCGACAAAATTCATGATAATTACCAGGATCAGACAAACCCTAAAGTAAGATAGAAAAGACAAGCTCTTCAAAGAAACTGATAAAAATCCCAAAGTATTTTTATTAAGGCCCCTGTTTTTCATGGGTACTTACTTTGTGGCAGTTGGGTAGATAACAATATCAGAAAACAAGTGAGACCTGATAAGCTTAGTGTTATTGGCAATTAACAGTAAGGAATCTAAAGTGGAGCTTTTAGAAGCAGCACTGCACCAAGAAGACTAATATAAAATGTTTGGGAACTTATTATACAAAAAGTATATATGATGTGATGTGATATGGTGGGGTGTAGTATAGTATATGTGTGTGAGTGTGTATCATACAAGTGCACAAGCACAGAAAATTCTTTCAATTCAACACTTATTGACTATCTATAGGTTTTATGGCTCCAAGTTAATTTCCTGTTTCTAAATGATGAGGCATTCAGACCAATTACTGCAGTGAAGGGAGCAAAGTTTAACAAAACCCCACTACAGCACACAGGGGGCTTTTAGAAAAAAAGGAACAGACCAAAAAAGACCTTTTGGGCAACTGTGAGTTGCTTGAATACAGAACAAATGTTACCTCTATATTACACTTTGCAGTATAACTGGCATATAATCAAATTTTAAAATGAATTGGTTGAATACTAATACTTAAAGAAACTAGAGAATTTTACTAATAGAGGCCCCAAGAAAGAAAAATAGAATCTATTATCTAAGACAAATTCCAAAAATACATCTTACAACAAGATCTCCCAACACACTTGTATATTAAATATACCACTGTATACAAAAATACCAGATTGACTTTTACAGTGAAATATCACTTGAGAAAGAAAATAGTTTAAGAGAGGTATCTGTTATTGGCTAAGTATCTCCCATAATACAGCTCATGACAGCAAGTTACACAAGTAACTTATGATTTTAAAGTAAAATCCTACCTATCAGCAAAATGACCTGAACTAACATTGAAAAAATAAATACAGAGGGCTGGAGAGATGGCTCAGCAGTTAAGAGCACTGACTGTTCTTCCAGAGGACCTGGGTTCAATTTCCAGCACCCACATGGTGGCTCACAACTGTCTGTCGCTCCAGTTCCAGGGACCCAACACCCTCACATAGACATACATGCAGGCAAAACACCAATGAACATAAAATAAAAATAAATTAAAAAGAAAAAATACATGCAAATGTATATGTTGTAGGTTTTAAACCTAGGAAGTCCTGGGGTGTAGAAAACATGACCAAGAAGTGTTTGAGTTGCACATGATCAAGATACGTTATATACACACATGAAATTGTTAAGAGTAAATTAAAAATTATTGTAAAAATTTTTTTTAAAAAGTCTAACAGGGTATGGTGGTGTACACCTTTGATCCCCGCATTTAGGAGGCAGAGGCAGGCTGATCTCTATGAGTTTGAGAATAGCCTGGTCTACAAAGAGAGATCCAGGACTCCCAAGGCTATACAGAGAAACCCTGTCTTGGAAAAAAAAATTCTTCAATAGCTGGAAAACAATTAAAATGCCTCTGTAGAATGATAATACTTTACTTCTATACAAAGATATCTGATGCTCCCCCAAATTGCCAGTAAGCAAGAAGCTTAGATAAAGCTCTTTAAGCTACCATTTAAGCTTTTACAGTCTGTGGTTTAATTACAAATGCTTTAAGCCAGAAAAACCAAATTAAAAGTGATATAATTACTTGCTAGACATTCCAAACCTCTCATGAACGTCTCTGTAAGTGTGTGCTGACACCAAAGCTCTGAAGCTAATGCAGTCTACTTCTAAAGCTACAAACTGAGGTGTCCACAAGAGGGCAAAATACACTGTTTCATAATTCAACTTACTTCAATATTAACAATTAAATTTAAGTTGTCTCCTACTTCAAAAAACAGATATAATACTCAATTACTTTAGCAGTTTAACTAGTACAAAGAAATAAAGTACAATGATAACATGACCTCTAGTCATATTCACTTAAAAAAATAAACAAAAGAGAGGGAAGGAACACCAAGTCTATACTGGAAATACTCTAATTAAAAAACTATAGCAAATGAGACCTCAAGAAGATGAATATAATATTATTTTCTTCCAGAAGCACAATAAATTAAAAAAATGTATTATGTACCAATGAGCAGAAATACAATTTCTATATGCTAAATGTTAATTAAATTATTTCATAAATACCTGGGGGTTTTCAAGTATCCTTTTTACTCCTTTAATTAAGTTACCAAGGTACTTGGCACGTTCAGGACTGCTAAATAAGGATCTTCTTGTAGAAGCAAACTGAACTAAGCATGAAAGTGCCTAACAAAAAAAAAAAAAAAAAAAAAAAAAAAAAAGAACAAAAATTCTTTCCATTTCGATTTTAAATGTAGCTCTGTCCACTAACACCACTCACAAGCGTCTAAAACAGCACTTGTAAGTATTCCTGGGATAATTTTTAAAAATCTTTCCTAAGTTTCCTATGATTGGATACTACATTTTTCTCTGACTTTCAAAACCCTATTTGCATTTTACAAAGGAAGGGGCCTCACGGGCTGGGAGATGGCTTTGTGGGTAATGGCACTTGCATGAACACTTGACTACAAAGCTGGACATAGCCACACACTCCTGTAATATCAAAGTTGGGGTACAGACCCCAGCAGCTTGCTGGTCACCATTGTAGCCAAAAGAGAAAGGAAGTTTCAGGTTCAAGATCTGTCTCAAGGGACTAAGATTAACAGCTATACAGAAAGACATCTTCTTTCTGGCTTCCACATGCTGATCCATGACTGCACAGACATACACACATGCATACACAAGCATTCACTCCACATACACAAAAAGAAATTTTAAGGAGAACAAAAGCAGTGTTTCATTATGACACTCTCATGGGGGGATGGGGGTGATGGTGTCAATACACCAGTGTTCTTATTTTCAACCTATTCCCTCTCATCATCTTGCTGGGTGCCTGGATTCCTCAATTCCTTGTTCTGATTTTGTGAGACACATAGTTTATATCCTCTGTTGTATTTTTTTATATGCCAATCTGCCAAAACAGACTTGGGTACATTCAGAAGGTTCCCAAATGCTTAAGATACCCATTCTGTCTGTGAACTATGAACTAGGTGTTCTATCAGGAATAAATGATCTTGAAGTAAAATTAAGTTACAGAGTATTATAAATTATATATTATGGATCCTGCAAAGGAGGAAAAAAAAACCCTTAACTGAATCAGGCATATAACAAACTTATTTGGTTATGACATACATCCTATACCATTCATGAGTATCTTACAGGGTTGGAAAATGCTGCTGGAAGAGTTAGTAACTTTCTGAAAGAGGATTCCTAAGGAGTTATCTGTGACCTAGTTACCTTCCTAAGTTTCCAGGCCATTTCATTACTTAGGTTCCTAACTCCAACAGCACTTACTGAAGTCTGTCTTCATATTAACTTAAAGGACAAACTGCCTTTGCATATTTGATCTGGGTTCACATATTTACTTGCCCACTTAAAAAATTACCATTAGCTGCCAATATTAAAGTATATCTAATAGGATACTTCACATAAAATGTCTAGCTCTTGCCATAAGGATGAGAATAAGAACAAACATTGAATCATTGAATCTTTCTGTTTGGGCCAAGCTCTAGTTTCCCACAGCCTTTACTGTTAAAAACAAAAACTGCTCTCCTTAGGCAAACTGATGCACATCACTGGGAACCATCAGTGTATTAAAAGCAAACACCAGTGCATAGTTCAGGGTATAAAAAGACCTGAGCTTTAATCTCAATGCCAGTATCTATTCTGCTGCCCTGGGGAAAGTCAATTAGCCACTCTGGGTCTGTTTTCTGTTTTTCAGGTCAACCTATCAATGCCAATGTTATTAATCTTGCAGGGTCATTGTGAGGATGAAGCAAGATAAACACCATATAACAGGGCATCATGCTACTTAACTCAAAGCAGATGTTTTCTTCTACATCTTTTAATCACAAGTAATTTTTTGTTTTATACTAAAATAATCATATGACTTCATGCTTTTTTTTAACAACTAAAAGCAATTTTCCTGGTTGAAAGACAAAAGGATGAAACACAGCCATAGATAAACACCCTATGAAACTCAGATTAAAACCTTAAAATAGAGATTTAAGAACAGACGTGTTGGGTTACAGCACTTGGGAATACATTCTTCATTTTACATATTTAAACAAATACACTTTAAATCTTGAACATTTTTTCCAGAGTCACAATTCTCCAATTTCTAGTAGCTTAAATATTTTTATTAAACTTACATTTTTTCCAACATTGCTAGATCTTTAAGACTCAACGAAGACAGTGCTCATAGTCTCAAAGTTTTATGTAACAAAGACAATTTCAAAGTAAAATTGAGCATGCAGAAGTTTCTCTCAGAGATTTGTTTCTAATGGAGACTAGGCAATCAGGTTGGAGAACAGTTAGAGAAGGTAGGTCCTAGGGGTGTGCTGGACTCAAGTGAGGTGAGTACCGACTAGGGAGTAAGATACAGGTAGAGGTTGGCAGACTGTCCTGGCTGTGGCAGGAGCAAGGTAAATTACTGGTTCAGAGCTTAATCACAAAGTGGAATGGATCGGTAACAAATTCCGATGAGTCATATAACAAAGTACATTGAGAAATGAAAGAACTGCTTGAGAAACATAACTCAATTAAGTGTATAAGAATTTCTGAAGTGAATATATATTACCCTTACTTCAGATCTAAAGAAGCACATGTATGAGGCTGAGCTTGTCACTGAGGAGGCTGAGGATGGAAGACAAGTTTGAAGGCAGCATGGGCTACATGGTATGACCCTGTCCAAAAAACAAAAACAGAAGTAGATATGTAGCCCAGTTACCACACTAACATCAAAGGTGTGGAACCCTAAATTCAATTTCCCAGAAGTGCAAAACAATAACAAACTATCATGGGTAATTTATCTTTAACGAATAATGAATGACTTGTACTTACTAACTGAGACAGTAGAGGTGGAAGCGAGTGATACAAATTGAAGAAAAGATCCAATGTTTCTGGTTCCAGGAAAACTGGAAAAAAGATGATTTTTTTTCTAACACCATTACTTTCACTAAAACACCACATGAGTAAGAAGACCTCTACATACGGTATGGCCACTTGCTGCAAAAGCTGTCAATTTATTCTTGACTCCTCAAGACAGGGTTTCTCTGGGTAGCCCTGGCTGTCCTGGAACTTGCTTTATAAACCAGGCTGGCCTCAGAGATCTGCCTGCCTCTCTCCTCAGTGTTAGGATTAAAGATGTGCACCACCACTGCCCAGCATGACTTGTTTTTCTTTCTCATGCACAGCAAGCCTTTTTTTCTGGGACATCATGAATATGAAGCCTAGTGCATATCTTTTTACTTATCATTCTGGGGACATGGCGCAACTTTCAATTCACAAACTCATCCTTTAATGCTAAGAACAGTTCTGGGTTTTCAAATTTCCTTCTGTTTTTCTCTTATTCTCTCTAGAATTTCCAAGAGTCAAATCCCAACCTCCTGATTTCACCTTCCCATTTCCTTACAGACATTTTCACTCCTATCAAATATCTTGCTTTTTTATTCTACTTTGTAAATTTCATTAACTTTCTCTTCCAAATTGTTTATTAAATTGTTAAATTATATGGCAAAAGTTCATTCTTGTCTCAGGAATGCTTTACCTTTTTTATATCTCTTGGTATATTAATAATATGCTTTGAAAATTTATCTCTTTTCTTCATCTTATATATTAATTCTCCTACTTTTTAAAATATTAAACTTTCTAAGATAATAAATTATAGATTCACATTATTATATAGTAATCATACAGTAATGCAGACCTATGCCGTGTTTTACCCACTTTCCTACACTGGTGATCTCTTGTAAAAAACACTACAATATCACAGCTAGGGAGGCCAACACAATTCCCCAATCGTATTGAGTCCAGTTTTATGTGAACTTAGGTATGCATAATATTTTTAGTCTGTGCATTTTTATTACATGTTGATTTATGAATTCATCACCACAACCAAGATGTGGAATGTTAAATCCCTTGTTTATTAATCTATGATTCCAAAATTGGAAGTCATTAAAAAAAAAACAAAAACAAAAAAACTTTTATGTTGATTCTCTATCTGATATCCCCAGATCTAAGCCTTTCTAGTTTAACTTTTCAAGGAAAAAAAAAAACACTGAAAGCTATAGGAGGGAGATGTTCAACTACAGAGGCAAAGGCAGCCAGTCTCCCTGCTGCCCAGGTGAGAATGATCCAACTGAGAATAAAGCCTTCTTAACAAAAGCCTACCAGCCTCAGAGCCTCTGCCCTGGGCACCCTAATGACACTGTCTGCAACATGGGGGAAGACCTTGTCTTCTTCTTGGCATACCCCCTGTTATGAAGTAAGTCACAACGCTGATCTGTTCAGTCATCTATTTCTGGTTTGTTCACCTTTAATTTTGAAAAATACCTCTGAATAACTGTTAGATCCTTTCTCACTACTTACATGGAAGTTTCTAAACAAAAATCCTAACATTCTCCCACAAGTCTATTTTCTACTGTCTAAATCAAAATATAGCAGTTATGAACTAGACAAAGCATTTCAATATTGAGTATTAGTAGCTATTCTGAATTACAATTCCCCTATGTAACTATTAGATCACTTTAAAAAAGCAGAGCTAACAACAAATGATCAGGTCAACTGTTTTGCTTAATTCTGTACCATGTATGTTGACTATCTCTCATGTTAAACATTTCTCTTTTCTTACTTGTTCTCCAGGTTGTTGGAATCTGCACTGTGCATAGATCATCTGCAGATTCATCTGCTGAACTTCCAATGAAGTCAAAACTCAGGCAGCTGAGGACCAGTTTTAAGACTTGCATCACCAGATTTTGTTGATCTTGATCCTGAAGATTTAAAGGTTTGGCCAACACCTTCAAAATTAGAAATAAAACATTATGACTAAATGAATTTCAACTTCATAAATTTAAATACTTTTTCAATGTGAAATGAAAATTAGTAAAAAAAAAAATAGTAAAAATCTTAGTCCACCTTTGGGAGTCCATTCCACATAGAGGGATACTCTTTCTGCCTAGACACACAGGGGAGGACCTAGGCCCTGCTCCAAATGATATGATAGACTTTGAAGATTCCCCCATGGAAGGCCTCACCCTCCCTGGGGAGCAGAAAGGGGATGGGATAGGGAGTAGGTGAGGGGCAGGTGAGGAGGAGAGGGAGAGGGAACTGGGATTGACGTGTAAAACAAGCTTGTTTCTAATTTAAATTTAAAAAAGAAGAAAAAATCTTTGTCCACAAATTTCTACAATAGCAAACTACTTTCAAATTTCACCTTGTAAAATGAGGAAAAAAGTATTTAACTACATATTGCAGATTACCTTCTAAAATTCTAAGAGGTAACCTAGGCCAGGTATAGTGGCACACACTTTTAATCCCATTACATGGTAGGCAGAGGGAGGCAGGACTCTGTGAGTTCAAGGCGAGCCTGGTCTACAAGGTGAGTTCAGACAAGCCAGGGCTGCAGAGTAATACCCTGTCTAAAAAGAAAAAAAAAATTTAATGAGGTTTTAGAACAAATACTTTACATATTACAACTGTATGAAGAAAGCACAGAAGTCGCCAGTTTAAACAATCCTGAGAATTAATTTTCTTCAAGAAAATCTGGGACAACTTCTTGTGTAAAAGAGATGTATTCAATTAACACAAAGGCCATGTGAATGCTAGGTATAGGTTTGGTACAGGACACCAGCTTCTTGAGACCAATGCTGGTGTCTTTTGATAAGGCCCATTCCTCCCACACAACCTTAAAAGTACATCCTGAACATTATGAAGTATTTGCAGAGAAGCCTAGACTTCTCCAAGAATAACACAAAGAGAAATCAGACAGGGAGATAAAAATATACATCAAACAAGATTAACCATGAGTGGTTACTAAGTCAGTTGATGAGTTCAAGACCACCAATTATACTATTTATCTACCTTTGTAAATGATATTTTTCCACAGTACAAGAATATTTTTAAAATAAGAGCCATTAAATCAGACCTACTACAGTGATTATCAATGTTAACATGCAAGTTAACAATTCTAATTCAAAAATTAAAATGTGAAATGACCTGCAAATCTAAACTTCTTGAGCACTCAAGTTTTGAATTTTGGTAAATTCCAAATTTCA